CCACGTAACGTGATATTTTAGAACTATATTGGAATGTCCCAGAAAGTTGGCCATGACCAATGCAGAGCGTATAGATACCTTATTCAAACGCGGCGCCCGTAACACCGCGTCTAATGCGCTCTTTGCAAACTTGATATTAAATTAAAGTTTACGCAATCACCAGAATCAATTGAGGATACCCGCAGAATTTACCAGAATGCAGTTTTTTTGTATTCCATGGATTTTTTTTTTTTTTGGCTTGACAAAATTTAGGACACATTGCCACGCGCGTCGGTGAGCAAGCGCGTGCGTGGCCGAGTGGTTACTGCGCTTGACTGTCGCGCGGAAGGTGTAGGTTCAATTCCAGTCAGTGGGCTGTCCTTTTATTTATTCTTTTAGCTTGACCTCCTCGTAAGGGCAAGAACATTGCCGTCTGATCAAGTTCCAAATATTCTACGCACCGAATGTTCTACATGGGTAGCGAAGGTTCCGTAGAAGCCCACATGTCAAAAAAATGGCGGCCCATGGGGCTGCTTTAGCGCCATCTATGAGTCGCGGGGACATTTCCGGCGGAACGAAAAATAAACAGGAAATGACGACACATCCGGAAAAAAAACGTGACGTCATGCGTGCGTGCGGTTTGGCGCGAAAAGTAAAATAATTCCAGAGACTACAGGTGAAATGAACGACATAAACACTAAAAAGTCTCAAATATAGCTCCGTGTTTCAGCTTTGTTTGATACTTTTTAGTGTGTGTGTCGTTCTTTTTATCTGCAGTCTCGGTTTTTCTTGGGATGTTTACACCTTGTGTTTATACTGGATCGTTCACGCCCTTGTTTGCCCTTGCTCTTATATTTTGTTCGAAACGTTTTTTTATGCAGCCGACTTTGTTAGCCGACCTGCTATGAGAGTAGTTTCATTTTCTCACACCATCGTGTCTTAGCACTGTGGTTGAACTCGAGCCAAAGTGTTTTGCTCTTTGTTCCTTCAGGATCCCTTGGAAATGTGTGAGAAACCTTAAAGCGAATGATGTAATGTCACAGAAAAAGAGTGGATCAAATTGCTGGAGTATGTTGATCATATGAAATACACAACAGTAACTCTAATGCCACTCCAACGTTGTATTAACAGTCGCGTTTTATTTGTTTTATTCATTTACAATCATTCAATCAGATCACTCACTAGAATCATACAATAATCGGTATCCAATATTTTGGAAGTGTCATGGTGAGAGAAAACTAGTAGATCGGTACATAAGGCACATTATAACATAATAAGACAATGTACAATCGTCTGGATGTTGTGAGGACATTGACAGTTCATAGGCAGCCACTAATAACTCAGAGGTTTCACGGTGTTCCGAGGACAACTGGGGTCACCACTGCAATACACAGAAAAAATAACTACACTTGTCTACGCGGCCATTGGGCAAGGTACCATAATGCTGAAAATATTTTGACTTACATCTGCTGGTGCTGCTACACTGCAACGATTGATCTGTGCAGGTCAAGGAAGCCAAGTGGAGTAAACCATCTTGGAGCCCTGTGGTATGCTGCACTTCACAAGCCATTGTCGCTTCACAGACTTAAGCGCTATATATGTGAATCAGAAGACTACATTTCTCCTCGAGAAACTGAAGAAAATGAAATTGCGAATCAAACATGCCTACACTGCTTTAAAAATACTCTGGGTGGTCTCACGTACGTAGCATGTGCACTTGCTGCCTCGCGTTACACTTTGCTGCTGCTGTATCAAATAGTTCAACTTTTTTTTTCCGCGCGAACCAGTGCAGCCTGACTCTGGCAATTAGAGAAAACAAATCATCATAAACACTTTCGTTAGATACAGTCAGAGACTTTGGAACCTTTTGGTGAAAAAGGACACACAGAGTACGCCCTACGCTCTCTTTTGAAATTAGGTTGTTGATACTTGTCTCGAAGACTTCCTCACAAGCTGCAACAAATAATCGGAAAGAAGCAGAAGGGACTGAGAAGTTTCCAATGTCGGAGTCGGCAGTGCCTTTCACACTCAAATAGAAAATCACTTGATTTCCTTCAGAAAAACACGCATTTTCTGTCCTCAGCTCACATTTCTGAGATGTTCCCACACAGGAATGAACCTTGAGGAATTTCGATGCCAGCCACCCAGCAAAATAAACCATGTTGTTCTCTTCCATTGCCGAAGGGTAGTTTGAAAGCGAATCGTCTGTCGTGTCAAGAAAAACTGTGCTTCCTAAGGCAAGAGGAAGAGAAGGTGCCAAGAGGCCTGCTGGGAACGTAGCAAGGAGAGACATCATGTCGTCAGCACAGTTTGATTTTTCCGACAGCTTGAATAGGTTGCTAATCAAAAGGTGCCTGAACGCAGCCTGAAATTGACGGGAAGTCGAGTTTGTGTTTGCACCAGATTTTGAACGTATAACAGCAAAAGGTTTTTCAAGGGCGTCTTGGTTCAAATGGCGGGTTAAAAGGTAAAAAAAAAACCGTAATTAGCCCTGAGGTGATTGCTGAGCAGCAGCAGTGACCTAACTGTCAAGCAGAAGCCACGAATGCTGTGCGGCTGCCTTCTACACCCGAGTACTTGCAGGCTTTTAAACACCAGAATGCACTCTTTCAGAAACTCCTCATGGATAGAGCCGTTACACACTGCAGAGGCATATGGCGTCTTTGCAAATTTCTGAGAGCTATTTAGGATGTCAAAAAGACGGTCGATTCTTTCAACAAATCTCGCTGTGTGAACAGCTGTGGCTGGCAAGTGCTGAAAAGTAACAAGGGCATACAATGCAGCTGCGCAGTGATTGGTTTTTGACGAGAACGTCAAATTAAAATGCTTATCGTTCAGCTTCGGCATAGACCGGATCTCAAGTTTACGGTCCTCTTCATAAGCTTCCTTGATGTCGGAACTTTTCACTAGGTAATCACAAAGTTTGAAGTAGTATTCGAACAACATGTTTCTAAGGCACTTCAAAAGGTGCGGAGCATCGAAAAGGAAAAAAAAGTGGCTTGCCACTGATCTTTACGTAAGGCTTTTCGGCAGTTACGATGCTTGAAAAAAGAGACACGTTCTGGCTCCCTTGATCGCATACAACAGCTACCGGCTCCAGGCCAGCGTCCACAAGGGCGCTGTAGCACAGGAGAAGGAGATCTTTTAGGGCATCTGAAGGTGTGCCTTTGTGAGCAAAAAAATAGCCAAGTGGCTGCTTCCATGGTGTTCCGACTCCTTTTGCCATGAACATAAGAGCCTTGTTTGCCAGCTTTTTGCCTTGCTTTACACTACGTTTTTCAAGTCCTTCAAACCTGTCAGACGAGGGTTTGTATGAAAGATTTTTTGTTATGTGCATTTCATCAAACACTATGCTGCAGGCCCGATCGGCCCGAAAAAAAGAAGCTGCCCGCTTTATTATGAGCTCGAAAATGTCAGGGTAAAATTCAACCCTCAGTGGCACACGCTGAAGCCATAGCTGCAGTGACCTTACTGATGGCAGCCTGAACAGTCACCTGCAATACTTATAGCCTTTGGGGCTATGAAAGTAGAGGTCTAAAGCCAAGGCTTTGTTGTGGCTGCACCGTCTCCGGCCAAACCGGCTCACATTGCTCATTCTAAGATGGGCTTCAACGAGTGCAGCGACAGCAAGAGACACATGAGCGCGGGCACTCTCAACGACTTCGGCCACAGTCCTCATCTGACGTTGTCGTTGCAGCCATCTTTGGAGCCTCTTGTTACGCTCTTGAAGCTGTCGCGCCTTGGCTCTCATGGCGTTCATCTTATTCTTGTCGATGTTGCGGCTTTTGCCGGGTGCTGCAATTTGCCAAGTGACCCAGATCAGGTCTCCAAGAAAAACTTGCATTCGCCATCAATTTATTAAATGTGTAATACGTTCACACTCAAGAATACTCCTCAACGATTTAAAGTGTTTTTAAACAAGAACAGAAAGTATGACAGACTACACATATGCAAAGCACCAAATCTTTATGTCGGTCTAGGCGCTTCATGTTGGCCAGAGACCTGATAGTCCAAAAAGACAAGGGCGCACACAGAAGCATGCAAGTCAGAATAGGCATCCAAACTGTGAAATGCATTTTGTTAAAGCTTGACCATACCTTACTTACGCCCATCGCGTAAGTAACAGTGAAGCGCTCGCAAAAAAAACAGGCAACTAAGGTTTGTCAGATAGGACAATGGACCATGACAGGCTCAGCATCACACACATGTGACCAGGGCAGCTTTTCGATAACTATAAAAACACTGTCTCACGTGAGGTTTTGTGGGAAGACTTATGATTCAGTGAAACCGGTTGAGCTCTTTTGATCCGATAGTGTTAACACCTGCGTGAGGAACATTTTTTTGTCTTTTTGTGTGTTTGGCAATGACAATACCATGAAACACAAAAATATGGTGAACTTTGAACAAACTTCGATTTGTAGCTGCCAGCTACCCGGTCTTGTGTTATGTGACCCCTTGCGCCATCAGCCGTCAAGATAAAGTTTATTATCCGCTGGTGTTTTTCGAGCCTTGGCTTTTTATTTTTGCGGTCTGACCTTTAATGGTTTCAGAAAAAAAACCTGCAAAGAAAAAAGTTCGCATCATAGAAAGAACTCACATTTGTGAGAAGGCCCAGCAGCACAGCCAGAGAGAGAGTTTCTAGACGACGGTGAAGAAACCAAACTCTCCAAGTCAGCCACGTCCCCGCTGGGCTCTTGAGCAGGAGCAGCATCTTGAGGTAGAGCGTAAGTGTGATCAACTGCGAACAAAATGAAATAAATAAAGGCTTTTGCAAAACCGCTATTGTAAGAAAGCAAGTTCAACAGAGCGGAAAGTTGGGCGGGTTGGTTGTTTATCTTAGCTGGCAGAAACAGTGCCACCTGTGTACTTTTACAGCGCCTGTCTGTATACTCCTTGTTTCTTGTCCTTCGTCAAGTTGCGCTGTTTCTACCAACTAAGAAAGCCAGCTCATGAAAAAGAATGGGACTAAAAGAATAGCACAAACAATATTCGGCCACCACTTACTATGGGCCCCTAGTGGACTATTCTTTAATACGGTGCACGAGTATGTGTGGTCCAACGAAGCCGCAGAAATCCGCTCTGGAAATTTAATGTGAACTTAGCGAAGGAGAAGAGGAAGTCCTCCCTTATTCCCCTATTTGAACGCATAAAAAGGAAGTTCACCTGCGTTCCATGACAGGTTTATTTCAGAAGACTGGTTGTCAGGGTGACCGCAGAAACTCCACCAGTCTGAGCGGCCGGAGTATGTGCAGCTCGATGAGGCTGGCGAACTGCTCTCTGCAAAATTAGCGTAAAGTCAATCATGGAATAGTAGTATAGTTCCTTCCTATCTGTCTATTCTAACACACGACAAGGAAAATCACCTTGTTCCCACGAAAGTTTTACCTCAGAAGACTGGTCGTCAGGGTGACCACAGGAACTCCGCGAGTCTGAGCGCCCCGAGTACGTGCAGCTCGATGAGGCTGGCGAACTGCTCCCTGCAAATTTAGCGTAAAGTTATTCATAGAATAGTAGTTGAGTTCCTTCCTATGTGTCTATTTTAACACACGACTAGAAAAATCACCTTGTTCCCACGAAAGTTTCACCTAAAAAAACTGGTCGTCAGGGTGACCACAGGAACTCCGCGAGTCTGAGCGGCGCGAGTGCGTGCAGCTCGATGAGGCTGGAGAACTGCTCTCTGCAAATTTAGCGTAAAGTTAGTCATGGAAGAGTAGTTGAGTTCCTTTCTATGTGTCTATTCTAACACACGGCAAGAAAAATAACCTTGTTCCCACGAAAGCTCCATTTCGGAAGACTGGTCGCCAGGGTGACAAGAGAAGCTCCGTGAGTCTGAACCGCCGAAGTATGTGCAGCTCGATGGGAGTGGCGAACTCAGCTCTGCAAATATATGGTGAATTCACCTATTTTAACGCAAAATGAATATCGCTTTCCTTCATGGGCAGCTTTACTTTGGAAGACTGGTGGCGGCATGGCAAAAGATGCTCTGTGGACCAATATTGACGTTGATTATATTACCTCAAATAAAACATGCCATTATTGATGGGCCTGAAATGAACTTCTAGCAGTACCTCTGACCATGTTCTACCAGCTTTTTCCTGCTTATCTCACCTAGTTCTAGTGCAAAATGTTCAGGTAATAAAGACCATGAGGTAACGCAGTAGTGCTGGCAGTTTCTGCCACTTTATGTTAGTTACAGTGAAAAAGCTCACCATGCACAATAGCTGAACCAGGAGAGCTTTTGCTGGAAATGTCGCCACGCGTCGTCTCTGAAAATAATATAAAAGTGTTATGAGCCCACAGAAGCAATATTTCAGCCCCATGTGGCTGAAATATTTCACTATTTTTCTAAGAGCAGGTTAACCATGCTTAGTCACAAAGTGCACGGAAAGTTTATTGGTCTGCTTACCTTTTGTGGGAAGCAGACTTGGCAACGCATTGTGACGGAGGTGTCCGGGCCGCAGGAAAGCTGACTCCCCGAAATGTAAAGAGCAAACTACCCTGTCTCGTAGCTGCCATGGAGTCTTCCCCTGTAGACTTCGGTTGTTGCAAAACCGAACCCAGGCTTCGCGCCTGCAGATAAGGCATGCTGTTATCTGGGTGCCGTGAATACTTTGGAAAAAGAAATGTAGCCAAAATGCCCACAAACCAAAGCAAATCAGAGCAAGGACATTAACAAATGCATGACATCAATGCTCTGTATACATTATGAAGAGTAAAAACACGAGTCTTACGCACAGATGGCCTACTATATATATGTGCGGTACCACTGATAACCACGCCTATGATCACGACCCTAGGCTCCTCAGAGCCAGGCCGGTACGGTAAATTTGAATTTCGTGGGCACTTTTATAATGATAGCACACAACGCAGTGAAGTCAGGGTGATTTTGAAGTTGAAACATTCCTAGTATAACATATTACGGCTTCAGGTGTAGTTTCTCGTGCACATCCAGACAACCCTAATAGTTTTAGGTAAAACTAACGAGAGTTGAGAGAAGACCAAACAAGGGGGCATGACATCACACAGCAGGCATGTTACTGAGAGTAGCGAAATCTCACCTTCGAGAATTGAGGGGAAACCGGTGCAGCGAGACGCCAGCCGTGCGGGTGTCGCTTTCACCCACTTCCAAGGAGCACCGTTTCTTTGCGTATAGCGCTGTGCTCATCGTCGCAAAGGACGTTGAGCCCCTTGGACGCAGTAGCGTCCAAGGTCCAAGCACACGGCTGCCGAGTTCCCGCGCAAGTAACTGGGCTAATCACGCCCGAGCAAACAAGAAAACTTCACAAACGGAGTTAACTGCCGCTAAAACAATTAAAAGCGAAGAGCACTGAAGGCCGAAACACAAGCAACCAGACGGACGTCAGCAGCCTGCCTTACCGCGCGCCACGAGGTATACAAAGTACTGCAAATATCGCTATTGCTTGCCGGCCTTTTTGCTAGTGGCGTACAGAGGACGCTAATAAGAAGTACGCATAATATTAGCAAAAACAAAGACAGTTTTGAATTTTGTAGCGCGCCAAATATGATTGATTATATCTAATAATTATATTCAGCTTGTATAAAAATACAAATGATTATATTTCTAGTCACAAACTAATAAATTTTAATAATGTTTGTCCCCACCTCTCCTAGTCGCGCTTCAATCGCATCCTTCGCGTGACCCTCCAGGCCGATGTGGCATAGAGTAATCTACACAAGGTAAAGAGCGGACACTCCCATAGGCCCCAGCGGCCCATTTAGCTGGCAGGGAGCGCACCGAGCGGCCGTCGTAGTCCCCAACTGAATGAATGGAGTCACAATAAAAATACTTACCGGATGGATAGATATATAGTTTGGCGTAGTGTATTGGGCGGTAGCCTGCGCCATCTGGTTTGCCGCGAGTTATGTTTTTCCTACTATTCCCGCATGGTAAATTTCAGCTGTAATTACTTCACACGTATGTACGATTCCTAATGCGGACAACTAATGCACAATACTATATACAGTTAACACTGACTTTACAAGCCAGGAAACCCATGTAGGTTTGTGCTGTCCAGAAGAACACCACCAGGGAGTAATCAACACAGTTTATTTTCGCAACAAAAATATGGTGGGCAGTTTGTGCCTCGTATATAATTACCAAAACTACAAAACATAAGCACCGTGCATCAAGGATTCACATACAATACATCCTACAAAAAAATGACAAGCATATTATGGCATGCATGAAAATCTTATCAAACAACTGGAATTACAATGTTACAACTGCAATTGGATTGCAAGCCTGTTTTGTGTTCTCAAGCATGTTCCATGGAAGGTGCACCACACACATAACATATGCAGCATCAGCAACACATACTAAAAAAAACTGGCCATGCAGTATCAAAGCTCGTTGATCCAATGCAATTTGTATGCAAATAAAACGCTCAGCATAAGAAATCTGAAATGCACGATGACCACAATGAGAAAAACAGACAAGTAAATGCCTAAACAAGATTGCCACTAGTATAGACCTTCTTAGTCTGTGACATAGTCATTAAATAACCCTAACACAGCCTGAACTACAGAATTAAAAATACCTTGCTCCTGCTGATTTAAGTAACAATAATGACCAAAATAACAAGAACTGAAAGCCAACGGACGGTCTAATACAGGTTTTACGTTCATGTCACGTTTAACATGTCACATTTAACATGTAAGGTTTACCATGACCACTATCATAACAAGCGCACATGAAATGGCTGACAAAAGACTGCTAATCAGACTGGTGCCCGGTGTACCTGCGACCCACTCATCACAAATGATTCCACCAAGGCTTGGCATGCAATCTGCACTGCCTAATTAGGTACATCTTACAAGGTGTCTACCCAATGACTTTTCCAAAGTCCATGATTTTTCCAGGTTTCCCTTGACTATTTTGATAAAATTTCCTGCCTGTTCCTTCCTTCGAAGGATGACATTTCGGGCAATGTTATTCAGCAGAACCGTGACGACAACTGATCGCCGGGCTTCGTTCCGCACCACCGTGCCACTTTTACTCGTCACTTTCCCTGATTTAGCCAACCTTTTGACAGTTTCCCTGATAATTCCGTGACTTTTCCAGGTGATCCAAAATTCCCTGAGCACTTAAGGCTTGCCAGGTTGGTGGACACCCCTGATCTCAATCTCCTTCACGCTCCACATATGTGTAAAGCAGAAACAGTGTCCAAAAGAAAAGAAAGTTGCATCCGAGATGAGTGACCTAAGAGAGTATTAACAAAGATCAATATGGGAACTTACACATTCCACATGACCACAATAGGAAAAAAGCAGACATGACCATCTAAAAAAGCAGTCATAACAATAGACCAGTAGAGTGCAACCTACTGAATGCAAATAATCCCAACAAATGGCTAGTGTGCAGTCTGCACGGCCCAATAAAATCCCAATAAAATTAATTTTACTGTTGCAGATATCTTATGAGATGCCACATAAAGGCTGAAACATCATCTTCTACCCACTGAACTTTTCAAGCTGCACACCAGAGACGCGAGAATGGAAGCGAACTTTATCCAAGTTTCTATTTACAAAACGGACATGCCAGCACAATCGAATTCGGCAAAACATTTTTAAAAACCGTGCACGACACTCTGGAGTGCAAAAATTAAAATCACCAACACGCGAGAGAGTTATGTACAATGTTTCACAAACACTTCGGAGGTGCGCTACACTTTCGATAACAGAAAGAAAGATTGACTCGAGCAGCTGAACAAGTGTGAAAGCTGCGCTTGATGGCACAGTCAAGTTGCCGAAGAGCTTGCCTGGGACGTGGTACGCTTTCAGCATCATAAAAAACTGATGTGGCTCATCAAGGTTACTGTGCTCATCTCTAAGCAAGTCAGGACAACAACAACCTTCTGCAGCCTTCTCAGTAAACATTTTAACAATGAAGCCAGCAACATAATAAGTAGCAGAGTTGTCAATAACATGGGACTCCTCATGGGCTGCCAACTCAGTGATGTTTTCCAAAGATGGAAAGTCGTACTGTGGGACATGCTGCACAACATCCACGAGTGACTCGCTACTAAGTGAAAATGGGGACAACTCCTGGAGGAGGTCCGTCTCATCCTCCTCGACATTTCCCTTCGGTGACAGTGTGAGGAGCTTCTGAATCCCAATGTGTTTCAGGCCAGATATGAACTGAGGCACATTGGGGTTCGAGTTGCATCCCTGCTTTTGTCTTATGTGTCCAAACATCTGTTCAAGCGGGTCTTGTTGAAGTCGACGCCCCGGCGCTCGATCCTGCGGTTTCGCCGACATCAACGCCCGCGGCGCTCTACTGTTTTCTTTTGTTCCCTTTTTGTTTTGGGCACAAGTTCGCCCCATTAAACGTTTAGTTTTTTTTAGTTATCTTCGCCTCATCAATTGCCATTCGTGGCAATATCTACACACAGATGCCCATTTCCTTCTCGACGAATGCTGAGAGATTGTTTCGATAATCAGAAAAATCGTAACGATTTTCTTTTCCCTTTAAAAGTGCCTGTGGAACGATTTACATGTCTTTCTTTAAATACTTTTCGGAGAGATGCTTTAGTCATTAGCTAAATTCTGGTTGTTTTATGAAGCCTATTTGCTTATTTGATTGAAGGTCACGTGTTTGTTATTATTATATTACAATATATATTATAATTTTAGTATCTTTTTTGTAAAGTTCAGTAGTGGTTTTATTTATTCTTATTTACCTACATTGCTATTAGGCATTATTGCAGGGGCTATGCTTTAAAATATGTGTTCATTAGACACAACATAACACGCCATTTTGATCGCAACCGCTGAAATATTCGGTTATAAATGAAATCCTGCATGTCAAAAAACACATTTAAGCACTTTCTTGGAAAGTTGTCAAATATACATCTCTAGGCGACCCATTTCCATCTTCTATAGTTCTCAGAAAAAGGAAAACTCAAAGACATTGGTACGACATGAATAAGGTCGGATTTCAATTACTCAATGCTATTTTAGGATTGTTGAGTCGTACCTATTTTTGTGATTAATAACGGTCAGGTTTAGCTGTCCAAGAGTTATTATCAATCAATCAATCAATCAATCAATCGATTCATATTTATTTTTATTTTTTTGCAGAAGAAAAATAAAACTGCTTCTGGTCGGCTTCGAGAACGTTTAGGAATCGGTTCACTTTCTTTGGAAATGTTTATAATGTATTCTCCTGAAAAAAAAAAAAGAAACAGCAAAAACATTGTAGATTTTTGACAAATGCAGAAAAAATAAGAGTCGAATCGACATTTAAGCTTCAGATATTAATATGCTGTGTCGCATGCTGCCTTAATAGGTTTTTGTGAAGTGTGCGAAGCTCAAACCCAAGGTTATTTCACGACGTCTTCTGGTAGAACAAACAATTGATACCTTTTTTTTAAATGCTACTTTAATTTAAAGGATTGGAGGATCAGTCACGAAACCAAGACGAATATAAACTGTGAGTGAGGGGAAAAGCGTCGTTTTTGAGCACAAGTCGAAAATGATATACATGAAAATACTCGAGATATTGCTATCAAACTGTTACAGAAATACAGGACAATGGGCTAATAAAAATAATTTATAAGCCGTCTGCCAGCAGTCACCGTGGGATATATTTTCGCCTCCATGTGAACTAACTCAGCAAACACAGCATCGAGCATTAGAGCCAACAAAGGCAACAACCCTACGTAAGTGCGAGTACCGTGGTCGGAACGAACGACAAAATTTTACGAAATTGGCGCGCTTCTGGGGGAGCCCTCATGGCTGCCAATCTCGATCGCGGGCCGCAGCGTGGCGCCACGGCGCCCGCAGTCCCCCGAACCTCGGGTCCCGAACCTAGCGTCGAAGCCCCGGCTCGAAGGCACGGCGGCTAGCAGTCCAGAAAGCGATCACGTGCGTCGACTGACGGAGAGCATGCGGACCCGCGAGCGCGCCTCCACCTGTGGCTAGCAGCCAGCGCTTCGACCACAGCGTGACGCGATGCCGTCGGCAACGCCGTGCGCCCTGAGCATCGGTGCGGTGTTGCTGGTGATCTGCCACCTGTGCATCGGCGAATTGTCCAAGCACAGGCTCTCCCTGCCCGGCGCGGCGCTGGACATCAGGGAAGAGGCGCTCCGGTTAAAGGGCCCCAACAGGGCACCCGAACTCCTGGTCCTCGCGCCGGACGACGATACCTTTCCGTACTCGCTGCACAAGGTGGTCCCAGCCGTGCTCGTCGCCGTGGACACGCTCCGGCAGACTGGCAATATGACGTTCGTGGTCAACTACAACAACACCAACTGCTCGTCGTCGCACGGGCCCCTCGTGGCCTTTGACCACTACATCGCGGGCAAAGTGGATGCCTTTTTCGGGCCGGCTTGTTCGTATGTGCTGGCACCCGTGGCACGGTACAGCTCCGAGTGGGACCTGCCGGTGGTGACGTCGTCTGGCCAAAACGACAACTTCGACGTAAAGCACACCAACTACAGGCTGCTGACGAGGATGAACGGTTCCTTCTCTCAAGTTGGGCAGCTGTTCATCGAGACGCTGCGCCGGTTCGGTTGGCAGGTAGTGGCCCTGTTGTACCACGAGTTCAGGGACAGGGCCAAGGGTCACTCAGACTGCTTCTTCAACTTGGCGGCCGTGTTCACGGCGCTGGGTGGAGGGCGCCGCTACCACCAGAACTTCGACGAGGAGGACCCCAAGGAGGACTTCGAGACGCTGCTTCAGCAGGTGGCCAGGCACGCAAGAAGTGAGTGCCTTTTTTCATCTCAGGGCGAGGGGCTTCTGGGCACCGGAATATTGCGAGACACGGAACAAAGGTTTGCTAGAGTGCCTTCATGCGCGCTTTGCTTAGGGTGATAACATCTGACCATTTTGTTTCGAGCGTTTTTTTTTCTGATGCGCGTGAAAGAGCGCCAAGCGCTCATGGCAATGACTGTGCTTCGTCGACATTTTGTTCTCGACGGTTTCTTGTATTTTTCCTGTGAGCGCGTGCTGTCAACATCGGACACAAAAAAAAAATGGCATCACCCTAAACAGACTGACGTTGAGGGAGGCACCCTAGGATTTGCATAAGGAAATGCGGCGTCCTTTATTAAGGAGCTCACGGATGACCGTCAGGTGTACATCGGCCGGTCATTTGTTTCTTAAGACTTTTTTTTAAGTCGTCATTTTACTAAATGTTTACTTCGGCGCGTTTTTGTTCGTACTTGACCTTAAATTGTTATTTGCATGGTCGGGTTCGCTGTTTTCTATTGGCTTTTAGAGTATGGAGTCAGCCGGCGGCAACGGCGTTTGTTGCAATATCTGTTGCATACTGAGAGAAAAGGGAAGCGATCGTTCGCAGCAAAAGCAAGCTGGTGAAACTTTGTAAAACACAAAAAAACTTAGCACCTAGACAAAGGTATACAAAAGGGTGAAAGCACAACATTTGCATTTACTTACACCCTATAAAGTGAAAAGTCACTAAGTCCTGTAAATGCTTGCAAACCTGGATATCTCTATAATTAATAGCTAGAGATTTTCACTAAGTCGAGAGAGCAACGTTTTCAAGGAGCGAAAGTATGCAAGCGAGCGGGTTAGGAAACATCATAATCTAAGTCCCCACTAAATGTCGATATTTTTTCGTCACTTAAACATACTTAACGAACAGAGCTCACTCGCCCCGGTCTCATCTCCCATATCCAATAACGAACTGGCACCCCAAGATCTCTTATCAAAACCTTCGCTACCACTCATAAAGCTTTCATGTAGTTTTTTTTCCCCTTCAAGAAATATTTTGGTGCTATTCGAACGTTGTCGCGAGAAGTTGTGAGGTGATTTGATATCGCACATTATACTGAGCGTTACGTACGGAAGCGTAGGTATATATTAAAAAAATGTTTTGGTGGCGCAAGGGACCGTGTAATCGAAGTCAAACCCATTGGTACACGCTCTAAGCAGCGACCTTCGTAACATCCTACATACATTTTAATATCTAAAAAGATATGGGCTCGCGTTCATGCCGATAGCACTGTCCCTTCAGAAGACCACAAAGGCACACGCATTTTCCACGCATGGAATATACTTCTGGCGTGTCTTCAACAGATATCAGAAGTGTTTTCTGGAACGAAAACGAAGTTCAGGAACCATCGCTCTTAATACTTCTGAATTGTTTTGTTTAAATTTCCATTGGAAAAGTGTGACGCGCGCTTTAAGGGTCACTAGGAAGGAAATCTTTTCGGGGATTATAAATATTTTAGGGAACATGATTGAGTGGTTTTTAAAGATACCGCTTGTCGTAAGAGGATCTAACCAAGGACGAGATGAGCTTCGTGTCGTCCTCAGGCCCGTGAGCAGCAAAATAGTTTCTAAAAAAATAAAGCGCTTGGAGATAGCTTGGATCGCAAGAAACGAGCTGCACTCTCTTGTTGAGTAAAAAAGGGTACTTGAATTGCATATTTCTTTTTTGTTTTTGGTCTTAGTGAAACGAAAGCGTTTCTCATCAGCATAATGATCGCTTTTTTATTTTAAATTCCGTTCAATTTTTTCTTTTTATTTCTCATGGAAACAAGCGACAAAACAAACGAAACAAATATAAAGTGACGTTTAAAATTACGTAAATACTTTTGCGAACATATCATCTTGCAAAAGTCTAGTCGTAAACTAATATCTCTTGCTTGCTCATTTTTCTAGTCGGAATAATGAGCTGCGCCGCAAAAACGTCCTAAACACAAAACAATTAAATAAAAAAATGGATCTTTACGGAAGGTTGGCTTTTTAAGGGGCATCGTATTACTACGTAATACGTCCCGAGGAAGTTCATAACCAGAACGTCTATTTTCGGCTGACAATCATAACGCTATGCTGTGCTAGAATTCTTAAAGGGTTCATGAAACGATATAGGGTTTGAATGTTCATGACTCTGCAGATGCGTACTGGTCCTATCCTGGACCAAGTATACTCGCACAGACCACCACTGATTCAGAAGATCCTTTGTCGCGATAAAATTGCGAGGATAAAAGAGGACTATTTAGTCGTGCCTTCTCAGAGCTTGATAACGTAATTTTGGGATCGAAACCATTCGCCTGACAACAATCGAGCACGGCTCATAGATTGGATACGAGAATGGCGTGAGCACCCTACTTCGGCTCGCAATAATGAATGCCTTGGCGGCCACTCGGGTGGTGGCTTGTGTCCAACTACTGCGGTAATGAGAACAGCCGAACTCTAACAATGCTTGGACACTCAGCTAGTCGAACGGCGTTTTAGTGAGCACCGGCTTTTCATCGAAAGACACTTCAGCGAATAGTCTGCCGCCGCGAAGTGGCGTTTACGTGTGGGCCAAGTGGGTTAACATTTTTGTAACGAGCCGCCACAGACTGCCGCTGCAAAGCGGCGTGAGCACAGCGCGGGGCGGTGAGTTAACGCGCGCCCCCGTTACTCGCTAAAACGTCGATTCGCTCAAATGGCGCTGTTCGCTGAAATGTCATTCGCTCATGTAATATGAACCCAACTTTATGAATGTTTATTAATATCTGCTAGAGACGTTTGATGCCTACAAGGCAAAGCATTAAAACAGCCATGGTATCTTACCTGACGGGTTGGAATTGCTCTTGCAACTGGGCCAGTCGTACGATTTGAAGTATGGCAGTACGGACTTTGGGTCACACGAGGGCCATGCATCTGATCACAAGGATTGTCATCATGCTTCTGCCGGCAGTTTCGGTTTCGCCGTAGACTCCTGAAACAAAACTTTGAGATATCGACAAAAATATACACATCTAAAAAAAAAAAAGGACATTTTGTAATTCAGGGACGGTCCCTTCACTAAAATCATTTGTAGCTCTAAAATCCAGAAAATGTACTGTTACCCTTTAAGTTTCGCTGTCAATCGATAACAATGAAGATTTCGTTTCTGTTTGAAGAACATGGTGTCTCGTGAAGCAGTTTATACTCCCTCAAAATTGTCGCAGACTTTCCTTGACATTATCGGTGCGTATACCATCATGCCGCCCATAAAAACTGTAGTAAGACGTCCCGCCTTATCGCAGTCACGATGCCAAGAACATTGTCCTTGAGTGGCAGGTTCCGCCGGCTAGATCGACCGTCTCTATATTTATTTTAACAGGTTATCGGTGCGCATTTTGTACGACCTTGTTTTCATAACATGACCGCGACTCTGTTGTCATAAGCCAACACTTTGGTCAAAAGGATACATATTTTTACGTTGTTGTTTTAATGTGCTTTTGCGTTTTTTAGCGACAGTAGAAAATGTTATTTAAACCGCTATGGGGGGAGGCATCTACAATCGAGATCTATACATTCCGGCTTTTTTTGTACAAGGAAAGCATTATCGTGGAAACTACGTGCGGCCATTTGTTTTCTATGTTTGTATAACATGTTTTGTTTTATTGGTTGCAGCGCGTATACCAATGCCTATCTATAGCGCTATATATTAAGATAATTCGCTTAACATTTTAAGCGAAAAACAGTCAGCGTATAGTAACCGGCACCAGTACCATTTCTGTACATTTTCATATTAAAAAAAGAACGTCATTGAGCACACTTGGGAAGTAATTCGTTACTTCTTCAAGTAATATTGTAATTGCCACGTTATTTTTTGCGGCTGTATTTTCTAATGTAATTTCATTACGAACTATTGGCAACAGAATACTTCGATTACTCGTCATTAAAAAATATCATACAAAAATCTGATAACGCCGGTTCGCTCCATGGGACAATTAATGCTTTCGCATTAAAACTGTAGAAATGTGAGCAGGCAGCATCGTAGGGCGGCAAATGCCGAAAAGGGAACATGATTTTTGTATGACCGGTCAAATTACCTTTTGCGGTAGTATTTTGTAATGTAATTTTTGTTTTACAAAATATTGGTAACAAATAAATTTAATTACATTTTCTTTAAAAAAAATATTTATATATAGCATGAAAATCTGTTGAAATATGAGGCAGCATCGCCAGGAGCAAAATACCGCAAAGGAAACACGATATTTTGTATGACCGGTCACTAGAAGCGCTAGAAAAACGTGCAAGACGACATATACAAATATGCGAAAAACAAAGATCGAAAAAACAACCTAAAGTAGGCTCTCTCTCTTTCTATATGTAGCCTTCCATCGCCCAAGCAGCACGCCATTGTTGGACCAACATCGGCCCGCCAATGGCGAAAATTGGCTCCAATTGTGGTCTAACCTTGGCTTGGTTTTCTCGAAAGTGCTACCCGATTCAATGTTGTAACTTTCACTAATTCTAATGTTGTACCACAATTTAACCGATAATCAAACGAATATTGAATCAGAATTCATGTCATTGTTGGATCGCCGTTTAAATAAAAATTTAAGCCAACGTTGTGACACACTTTAACCAGCACCTAAGCCATCATTGGACCACTTTTGGTTATGGGTCTTTCAACCAATATTGGCATCCAAGTTATAATCGATGGCTTATGTAATATTGGCTCCCAACCTTATGCCCTGTGTATTTCAATTTCGGCATCCGATTTTAAGCTCGCGCTGTACTATAGTTTCGCCAGCCATTCTAGCGTGCTTGCAGCTTTCTTTTCAGATGTATTAATAGTGTTCAGTACAACACTATATTTAGATCTGAAAAGAAAGCTGCAATAGACAAGCCACATTCACTATGGAAATTTTTAAGTCAATATCGCATGCAGGTAAATATAAAACTCTGCAATGCAAGCTGTAGTGTCAATACCTTTTATTCTGAATTTCGATTGAAGAAAATTTAAAACAAAAAGGAGTGCCAGGATTCATCACTGCAAGCTGTGAATCGGGCAGGAGCTTGATGGGATCCCACGCAGGGGTCTGGGCACAGAATTCTGAAAGATACAGATGTGGGAGCCTGGATTCAGGTGAAGGGTTTCAGAGGCAACATCTCTACCAGTTCCCACTAGGCAACCTCATACCTTGTAATTTGAAATATTCCTTTACCTTTTGTCTTAAGACGCTGGCAGTTCTCTCTTACGTGTGTCAATAATGAATAGTATTGAAATAAGATATAGCTTGATTATTCACCCCCCATTAATTAACTATTATATTAATCGGTTCAGTGGCTTTCCAAGTATAAAATCTAAGAAAGGCCTACCGACCTTTTTTCCTGTTTACTTTTCCATAATAGAAACTTTCTTTTACAGCGAATCATTTTTCGTTATTTTGTATATAATAAACTTGAGTACTTTACAAGTCAACAGTATTGCCTTCGAGAATAAATAGATGGGCATGTAAGACACCTGGGCCGGCTTGCTGGAATCAGCGTCTCAGCTGAGACTGGGTGAGGGAAAGCACTGCAAAGGCTGGGGCGCGCGAGCGTCTTGAAGCGAGGTTTGTGTCCCGCTCAGCTCGGTGCGCTGGCTTTCACAATGCTTTCTTTACCCCTGTCTCAGCGAAAACGCTGTTTCCAGCAAGCCGGCCAGGCATTTACTGTTGCTTTGTGGTTTTAACTCAGAGCTCAAGAGATCTAGATTAAAACAGTGATAGTGATTTAAAAAAAAAAAAAATTACCAAATACTAGTAGAAAGGTTGATCCATAAAATGCTCAGCCCTACTCTTGCAACATCACAGGGTCCCCCAACCTTTCATCTAGCCTTAAGTCCTGTTAATTAAAATCTCGCCATTTAAGTTTACACCTATATTTCTACGTTGAATAGAAAAAAATACTGATTTAAGAATTACGGTATTTGCGGCACAGAAATATGTACTTACAAATGTACCCCTATTGCCTCCAAATTATTCACAAGTTATAAATCAAACCGCTAGCCTCCCTCTTCAGCTCAGCAGTGTCAGATGAACTAAGAAATTAGCAGTCCATTAAATAGTCTGTTATACGAAAGGAACATGACAGTTGAACAGAACATGAAGCTCGAATCAATAAAGAATTTAAGATAAATCACACACATCAAAAAAAGCTTGTCGATTAAAGAGAGTTAAAGGCAAATTCACCCAGATTGCGCGGTGGCATAAGTGACACTCCACTTCACCCAACAAATCGAATTTTGGAAAATAAGAACTACTCAACGCGTCCGTGGTATTCAGCTTTGGACATGTTGGGAGGACTTTACTACAGAACACATCGCCCGCCAAGAAGACAGTCAGTATCTAACAAAACAAATGAAATAAAAATTACTTCGAACACAAAAAGATAACCAATCAGAATGTCTCTCACGGTCTATTAAAATAATTAAAAAAAATTACAAATAACGTTGTACAGGGCCTTTCAGGCCAATCGTTGTGGTTTACACGCTGGACTCGTCGGAGATTCTTGGCCTGTTGCTATGCAGTCCTGAACATCTTGTATGCAGTTGTCAAGAAATGGATGTTGA